ACATCTCCAGCACCTTCCTGGGTGAGGACCCCCCCACCCCAGGGACACCACCGGGGTCACCTCTCCGCTGGCAGCAGGGTGGGCTTTGTGCCCGCTTGCTTCTTGTGGAGGCATGAAATGGAGGGAAAAGTGGGGGGGAACTTTCCCAGGTGTCCCGGTGGGATTCGCTGCTTTGTCCTGGCTGGGTGTGCTGATGCATACTGGAGCATACTGGTGCATACTGGTGCACTGGGGCTGTTGGGTAAATCCCTGTGGGCCTAGAAGGGTATCCTGGGCAGGGTTTGGATCCCCAATGCAGGGCAGTGATGGGAAGTGCTGGGCACCCCCCATGCAGCCCCCACATTGTCATGACACCACGGTGTTACCTGTGCCGCGTCATCGGGATGTCGGGGGGGAATTTGGGCTCCCACCCTGCTCATGCCCACTGGTGCCACCCCAGACAAACAGCACGAGGTGGAGATCCCCTCGGCGCTGGCCAAGGACAAGGAGAAGGAGCGGAGGAAGCGCCCCATGTCCCAGATCAGCGGCGTCAGGAAGCTCACGCACGGCTCCAGCCTCACCGCCGCCGGCATCCCCCGCTTCGGGGTGTGCACGGACCACGAGGGGCTGCTGGCCAAGGTGGGCTTGGCACGGGTGACCCACCCAACCACACGGTCCCTGGCACCAGCCCCCCATGGACCTTCGTCCCTCTGGTCCCCAGGAGCTGGAGGACATCAACAAGTGGGGGCTCAACGTGTTTAAAGTCGCCGAGTACTCGCGGAACCGCCCGCTGACCGTCATCATGTACAGCATCTTCCAGGTGAGCATCCCAGTGGGATGTCCTTGTCCCCCTGCCCGGACAGGGACGAGCCACCTCCCGCCTCCCTGCAGGAGCGTGACCTGATGAAGACCTTCCGCATCCCCGTCAACACCTTCATCACCTACATGCTGACGCTGGAGGACCATTACCACGCCGACGTGGCCTATCACAACAACCTCCACGCCGCTGATGTGGCGCAGTCCATCCACGTCCTCCTCTCCACGCCTGCCCTGGAGGTGATTCGTGCTCTCCTGAGGCCATGGAGGCCTCCAGGTGTGTCTGGCAGGGTTGTAACACACCAGCAACTCCTTCTCCCACTGTTCCCAGGCTGTCTTCACGGACCTGGAGATCATGGCTGCCATCTTCGCCGGCGCCATCCACGACGTTGACCACCCCGGCGTCTCCAACCAGTTCCTCATCAACACCAGTGAGCTGGGGAGCAGGGATGGAACTGGGGGGGTGTGGGGGACCCCACCCAGGAGCCCCCCCGGGGTGACTGGTGCCCTCTGGCAGACTCGGAGCTGGCGCTGATGTACAACGACGCCTCGGTACTGGAGAACCACCACCTGGCCGTGGGCTTCAAGCTCCTCCAGGAGGAGAACTGCGACATCTTCCAGAACCTGAGTAGGAAGCAGAGGCAGACCCTCCGAAAAATGGTCATCGACATGGTATGGGGAGTGCTGGACCACCTCAGGGTGGGGGTCCAGGCTTGGGGGGGTCCAGCTGAACCCCGTTCCCGGCTTGCCCTGCCCAGGTGTTGGCCACGGACATGTCCAAGCACATGAACCTGCTGGCGGATCTGAAGACCATGGTGGAGACCAAGAAGGTGACCAGCCTGGGGGTGCTGCTGCTGGACAACTACTCCGACCGGATCCAGGTGAGCATGGGGACACAGCTGGGAATCCTTCCTGGCACTGCGGGCACCGGGCACTGCTCTGGGCTGCTGGAACATCCTGCCTACTGACTCCCAGCCACGGCTGGCCCTGACCAAGGGTTGCTGGCACAGCATGGGGGTGGTCCCGGGGGGACAAAGGACACGGTGGCTGTGCCCACAGGTCCTGCAGAACATGGTGCACTGCGCCGACCTCAGCAACCCCACGAAGCCCCTGGAGCTGTACCGGCAGTGGACCGACCGCATCATGGTGGAGTTCTTCCACCAGGGAGACCGGGAACGGGAGAAGGGCATGGAGATCAGCCCCATGTGCGACAAGCACACCGCCTCCGTGGAGAAGTCCCAGGTGGGGCGGTGGCCTGGGGATGGGGTGGAGGGGGGTGCAGGGCTGGGCTGGGGGCTCAGCTCTGCCCCCCCTCCCCTTCCTTCCCAGGTGGGCTTCATCGACTTCATCGCCCACCCGCTGTGGGAGACGTGGGCCGACCTGGTGCACCCCGACGCCCAGGAGCTCCTGGACACGCTGGAGGACAACCGGGAGTGGTACCAGAGCATGATCCCTCGCAGCCCATCCCCTCCGCCCGAGGGACCCGGCGCGTCCCCCGCCAACACCGACAAGTTCCAGTTCGAGCTGACCCTGGAGGAGGAGGAGGAGGAGGAGGGTGAGTCGGACACGGAGCTGGAGGGGCCTGAGAGCCCCCTGGACGAGGACAACAGCGGCTCCAAGACCCCGGGCACGGATGACTCGGAGTCGGCTGACACCAGGCGCTTGTCCCCCGGCCCTGGGGACTCGCCCGTGCCCCGCCCCAGGGACGTGGACAACCGGCGGGCGCTGGAGGGGACGCTGCCCAAGGACGGTGGCGGCGGGTGCTCCGTGCCAGGGCCCGAGGACAGCCAAGGGCTGTGCCTGGACACGGAGGGCAACGTCACATTCCTGTCCCTGGGCACGTAGCGGCACTGGCCGGGGGGTCCCCTCGCTGCCACGGGGATGTGGGACTGGGCACTGCCCTGGCCGGTGTTGGGGACAGCGGGGAGCTGGCAGTGGCACCACACAGGGCGTGGAGAGACCCAGATCGTGTCCCCGTGCGGGATCTGGGCAGGTCCTGATGGACACAAGGGCGCTGCTCGCCCTCTCCCATCTCCCACCAGATGCTGGGAAAGGTCCCTGTCCCCTTCAGACAAGGCCTGGGGACACTGTGCTCTGGCCCCAGCCCAGCCCTGGGGACGTCACGCCCCACTGGGCTCCAGGAAGGGGTCCCCCACAGGGCTGAGGCACAGCCAGAAGCATTCCAGCACCTTTCCAGGTGGCTCCTCGCGGGACAGCAGCCCCATGGTGGGACGGGGAGGTGGGTGAAAGGTGCTGGTGACACCCCCAGCACGAGGGACCCCCAGGCACCGGCGCACGGCACGGGCACGAGTCAGGGGTTTATTTATTTGGGGACAGGTTCACTTTTTAAAGCCTTTTGTAGCTCACTTTTTACTCCGAGCCTCTCCGAGGCCGCACTCACGTGGATATTTGGGGCGGAAAGACTCGTTTTCGGGGCGGAAGGTCGCGTTCCTGCTCCGTGATCACTGAAAATTCTGCCTTTTTAATTCACACTACGGGCCCCGGCGGGTGCTGTGACCTCCCCCACCCCTGTGTCTCCAGCATCCTGCCCGGGGGCAGCGCCCCAGGATCCTTTTGGATTTTCCTTCACCTTTCCAGAGATTAAACCCGGTTTGTTGCACCCTAAACACGAGCCTTGTAAGTGCCTCTTTACCTTGGAAGTGCCTTTTACTGGTGTCACGGGAGCTGTGCCAATGTCCCCAGGGACCGGCGTGGTTGGTGGCCCCGGCGGGCACCAGGGAGGGCCTGGAACAAAAGGAGCTCCTCCCTGGAAACGCTGAGATCCATCACTGGCAACCACGGCCTGCTAAGGTAAATATTTAATCGCCGGCTTGGCGCGGCGCGGGGCCCGTTCCCGGCTCTTCCGCATTGCTCCCAACGGTGATTTATCTCCGCAAACACGTCCCCACCCCTGGCACTGCCCTGCCACTGCCCTGGCACGTGGGGCCCCCCGAGGCTCTCACCCCCTGCCCGCCCCACGCCCCCCTCCCATGGCAGCAGCAGGGCCTTGGGAGCTGGATGAGCCTTTCCCAGCCCAGGCGGTTTCCAGGGATGGGCTGGGAGCGCCGGAGCCACACGGGGTGGTCATTCCTGGTGGGTGCTGGGTGTCCTCCTCCTGCCTCTCCTGGTGGAGAGGGGCTTTGCTGAGAGGGGCCAGCTGGGGTTCTGTGCCCCCAGAACTCCTCGAACCCAGGTCTGCCCCAGACTGCAGGGCAGGAGCTGGTGGGATAAAAAGCCCTTTTCATCCTGAGCTTGGCTGAGGGGCTGCAGAATCCACGGACAAGGAGGGGAAGGTGGGAGGCAGCACCCATGATCCATCCCTGTAACTGGATCCATCCCTATAACTGGATCCATCCCTATAACTGGATCCATCCCTATGGCTGGGTCTGTCCCTAAACCTGGATCCAACCCTACAACTGGATCCATCCCTAAGCCTGGATCCACCGCTACACCCGGATCCATCCCTGCCTCCCGGCCATGCTGTTGTCGCTGGGGGCTGCTGCTCTGTGTCCCCACTGTGGGCTCTCACTGCCCACCTGGACAGCACCCACAGTGGCCGGCAGAGCCCGGGGGGTGTCCAGGGGGTGTTCCCCTCCGTCCCCCCGGGGCTCCGGGTCCTGGACAGGCCCCGGTGGGGCTGCACAGAGACAGCAGCCATTGAGACCCCCTGGGCAGGGCAGGGTAGTGCCCAGGAGGCTCCGGGCAGGGCAGGGCAGGGACCGGGAGGGTCCCGGGGCCCCGGGCAGGGCAGGCCCGGGCAGGGCGGTGCCGGGGCCGCCATATGCTGCCTGCCCTAATCCCCGCTGGAACCTGAGGGCGAGGGAGGACATGGCCGCCCACCTGCGCACCGGGCCCGCCTCAGAGCCAGGAGCCCTGCCAGGCTAAAGAGCAGCCCGACCGCTACTGCCACGCTTAGGGCGGGCGTCGCGATACGGGGAGCCATGTCGCGATAGCGAGGCTGCGAGACCTCGCTTCTCCCCTCCCCCCCCGTGAGCAGGAATGGTTCTTCCCGCTCCCCCCGCCCGCGCGGCTCGTGGTTCCCCCCGCGCCTCACAGCGCGCGGCCGGACCGCACCACCACGCGCGGCCGAAGGGGGGGCGCGGCGCCCACCACAGCTCCGGGAGGGGGGGTCTGCCCCCCCTCCACCTCCCCGCTGTCCATCACCGCGCGCCGCCGGGCCAATCAGCGCCGCGCTCCGGGGCGCGCCCGTGACGCGCGGCTCATTTGCATAGAGGGCCACGCCCCTTCTGCCGACGTCACCCGGGGTCCGCATCTGCTGCAGTCGCTGCGGGAGGAGCGAGCGCGGCAGAGGTGAGACCCCCCCCCCACCCACCCACCGCCGGGACCCCCCCGAACCCCCCGGCACCCCCCGCACTCCCCAGCAGCCCCCGGCACCCGGGGGTTCGCCGGGCAGCCGGCGGGGAGCGGCGGCTGCAGCGGGGGAGGCGGCGGGCGGGGGGCGGAGGGTGGGGGGGTGATGATGGTGATGGTGATGATGATGATGATGATGGTGATGATGGTGATGGATGCGGCGCGGGGCGGGGTGGGGGAGCTGCGCAGGGTCCCCTTGGGGGGGACGGGGGGGGTGCGGCGGGGACCGCATGGGTGCAGCGGGGTCGAGCAGGGGGTGGGCGCACCTTCCCTGCAGCGTCTTGAGCGGCCCCTGTCAGCGCCCTGAGCATCCCCCCCCTCCACGTTCCCCCCCAATAAGACCCTGCGCCTCCTCCCTGCAGCGCCCTGTGCGCCCCCCATGAGCGCCCCGCGCCCCCACCCATCAGCATCCCGAGCCCCCTCCTTGTAGCACCCCGTGCACCCCCCGTGGGCGCCCTGCACCCCCCCATCAGCATCCCAAACCCTCTCCCTGTTGTATCAGCCGGCGCCCCCCCCTCCATCAGCACCCTGAAGCCCGCAGCGCTTCCCAGCATCCCTGTGCTCCATCCTGCATCCCCCCTCACCAGCCCTGGGTGGGCACCCACCTCTGTGCCCCCCATCTGCCTGGCATCAGCACCCCCTGGCACCCTGTGACACCCCCCGGGCACCGTGTGGCACCTCGCCGTGCCGTGTCACCGCGCTGGTGCCATTTTGTGGGGGAGATGCAGGAGAGGCTGCGGCGGCGTCCCGGCCGCACCTGCCGATGCCACAGCAAATCCTGGGATCCACGGCAAATCCCGGGGGCCATGGCAAATCCTGGGGGCTGTGACAAATTCTAGGATCCGTGATAAATTCTAGGATCCACAGCAAATCCTTGGGGGCCACGGCAAACCCCAGGATCTGTGGCAAATCCTGGGATCCACAGCAAACCTTCTGGGGGTCAGGGCAAATCCTGGGGGGCCACAGCAGATCCTGGGGGGTCATGGCAAACCCCAGGATCCACAGCAGACCCTGGAGTCCACAGCAAACCCTGGGATCCACAGCAAACCCTGGGATCCACAGCAAACCCTGGGATCCACAGCAAATCCCAGGATCCACAGCAAACCCCGGGATCCACAGCAAACCTTCTGGGGGTCAGGGCAAACCCTGGGGGGCCACAGCAGATCCTGGGGGGTCATGACAAACCCCAGGATCCACAGCAGACCCTGGTGTCCACAGCAAACCCTGGGATCCACAGCAAATCCCAGGATCCACAGCAAACCCTGGGGTCCACAGCAAACCCCGGGATCCACAGCAAACCTTCTGGGGGTCACGGCAAATCCTGGGTGGGCCATGGCAAACCCTGGGATCCACAGCAAACCCCAGGACCCACGGCAACTCCTGGGGACCACGGCACCCACGTGCCCCACATTTACCGTGGGCCCCCCTTGCTGGGGGTGACAGGAGGTGTCCTGTCCGAGCCCTGTGGGGCGAGTGACCCACCGAGGCCACCCCGCCGCCCATCCCAAGCCGGAACACGCCAGATCCACGCCCGCGGCGTCGGGAACCTGCTCCGAGCCGGGGCCTGGACCGTCAGCGGCCTCTCCCCCGCCTTGCAGATGGCGTCGGCTACCGACTCCCGCTATGGGCAGAAGGAATCCTCGGACCAGAACTTCGACTACATGTTCAAGATCCTGATCATCGGGAACAGCAGCGTCGGGAAAACCTCCTTCCTGTTCCGGTACGCCGACGACTCCTTCACGCCCGCCTTCGTCAGCACCGTCGGCATCGACTTCAAGGTCAAGACCATCTACCGGAACGACAAGCGCATCAAGCTGCAGATCTGGGTGAGACCCCCGGGCCCCCACGGCGGGCTGGGAGGGGTGGTCGCCTTGGGGCTGCTCCGCCCTGCGGGGCTGGAAGGGCTGGAAGCATCGGGAGTGGGGCTAGGCTGGGAGGCGATGTGTCCTCGGGGACCTTGGGGACACCCAGAGCGCTCCGAGGGGTGTCACTGTGTGCTGGGGAGGACATGGTGGGGGGGGACCCCTAGAGCACCCCAAGGAGCCCACTGTGTCCCCAGGGGTGACATGGGTCGGAGGGACGTGTCCCCATGAACCTGGGGGGCCTCTGGAGAGCCCTGAGGGCGATGCCAGGGTGGGGAGGGACGTGTCCCCAGGGATCTCGGTGGCACCTGGAGCACCCCAAGGGGTGTCGCTGTCCCCCCCAGGGGTGACACGGTGGGGAGGGATGTGTTCCCGGGGACCTTGGTGGCACCAGAGCACCCCGAGGGGTGTCCTTGTGTCCCCAGGGGTGATGCTGAGGTGGGAAGGGACGTGTCCCCAGGGACCTTGGTGGCACTCAGAGTGCCCCAAGGGGTGTCACTGTGTCCCTGGGGGTAACATGGCAGGAAGGGACATGTCCCCAGAGACCCCTGAGGGGTGTCACTGTGTCCCTGGGGGTGACATGACGGGAAGAGACGTGTCCCCAGGGACCTCGGTGGCCCCCCCCGCCCAGGGGTGACATCCTGCTGTCCCCTCCCTCCCTGCCCAGGACACGGCCGGGCAGGAGCGGTACCGCACCATCACCACCGCCTACTACCGCGGGGCCATGGGCTTCATCCTCATGTACGACATCACCAACGAGGAGTCCTTCAACGCCGTGCAGGACTGGTGAGTGCCCCCCCAGGACCTTCCCAGCCACCCCCCGCCCAGCACCCTGGTCAGCTCCTTCTCTTCCCCCTCACCCATTATCCCTCCTCTCCTTCTCCCAAAGGTCCACCCAGATCAAGACCTACTCCTGGGACAACGCCCAGGTGCTGCTGGTGGGGAACAAGTGTGACATGGAGGACGAGCGCGTGGTCTCCTCGGAGAAGGGCCGCCAGCTCGCTGAGCACCTGGGTGAGTCGGGCAGAGGGGAACGTTCCCCCACGGCCATCATCCAACAAATAATTTAATTAAGGGCTTAATTCCCTCCCTGTAATTGCTCCAGCGATTCGATGCAGGCCGGTGACTCGGCACCGGGGGTTTTATTACCACCTTTAAACCCTCTGAGAGCTGCTGGGGAGGGGGGAATGGGGGAGTTTTTGGGCGAGGAGAACGAGGCGTCCCCGGCGTGGGGGCGGGTTGGACACTGCGGGTTGGGCAGCTCATTAATATTTAACGAGGGGAGGAGGAGGAGGGGGAGGAGGAGGAGGAGCTGTTGTGGGATGGAGGCAGGGCTGGAACCCTGATGTGTGCGTGCCCCCTGCCTTCCCCCTGGTGCAGGATTTGAGTTTTTCGAGGCCAGTGCCAAGGACAACATCAACGTGAAGCAGACCTTCGAGCGGCTGGTGGACATCATCTGCGAGAAGATGTCGGAGTCGCTGGACACGGCCGACCCCGCCGTCACCGGGGCCAAGCAGGGCCCCCAGCTCACGGACCAGCAGGCCCCTCCCCACCAGGACTGTGCCTGCTAGGGGCCAGCCCCCCTCCTCTAAACCCCCCCCAAAAACCGGTCAGTGCACCCCCCTCAACCTCCCCCCCCCCCAGCCCCTCCTCTTGGGGATCCCGCGGGGGATTTGCTGCTGATACCTCCGAA